TGCTCCCGTAAAGATTTAAAGCCTCAGAAACCCTGTTCAGGGTCGCTATGGGTCAGAACCGACTCGATGGCACTTAACAACAACAAAAACATACATAAAAGCTGTTTTATTTTTGTTTTTAAACTTAAAGTTAGCTTTCCATCTTGTACCTGCTATGAGCAAATAGGTGTTCAATAAATAATTATTGATTTGAATTATGACTCCTACCAAAACTTAGAGTTCGTTGTTATTGTTGTTAAGTGTCCTCGAGTTTGTTTTGACTCACAGCAACCCTGTTTAGGGTTTCCAAGGAGCGACTAATGGGCTTGAACCTCCAACCTTGAAGTTAACAGTCCAGCTTATCCTACAGTGCCACACCAGGACAAGTTAAAGGCTTTCTTCCGTGACTGTAGAATTTAGGGCTTAGTCAGAAGAGAAACTCTAGACCAATTCTTTTAAACAGATTTAATATAAAGAATTATTAACTAAATATTGAAGAATGGAAAAGGAAGAAAAATAACTTTTTTCTTCAAAGGATGGTCACCAGACAAGCTTCATTAGAATCATTTGGGAACTGGTTAGGACCTTGGTAGTACAAATAGTTTGCTGTTGACTACTAACCTAAAGGTTGGCAGTTCTGAATCTGAGCCCACCCAAAAGCACCACAAAAGTAAGGTATAGCAGAAGTGCTTTCTTAAAGATTCTAGTCAAGAAACCTCATGAAGAAGTTTCACTCTACAACATACATGGGACCACCATGAGTTGGGATTAACTCAGTGGCAACAGGTTTGGTATTCTGGGGTGATGGTAAGAACATGTTAGAAATACAAATTTTTTACTCCAGATTTACTGAATCAGAAACCCCAATGGACGGGGCCCACCAATCTTTTTAACAAGTCCTCCTGGTAATTCTAATATATTTTAAACTGTAAAGTAGAAATAGCAACAGCCAGAGCAGCTATCATTTCTAGAACTGGAATTTCTAGAACTGAAACGATGGGGAAATGACTCTCTGGAGCTGAAATTGAGAATTCCAAGAATGGGGCACTGCTTGCCGGAGTTTATGGCTCTGAACTCAAAGGACAGACCCACAGACCTGGGAACCGTACATCTGAGCACTCATGAGTTGGAGCTGGTGTCTCGAGATGGCCTAGTGAGATTAGTTCTGCAAGTGCTCAGTAACCCCTGTTGAAATCAGCTGCTGCTATTTGAAAGGCCTAGATGATACAATCTTGCTTGCTGAAAGTGAGGAGGACTTAAAACATTTACTGATGAAGATCAAAGAACACAGCCTTCATTATGGACTACATCTCAATATAAAGAAAACAAAAGTCCTCACCACTGGACCAATAAACAACATTCTTATTAATGGAGAAAAAATTGAAGTTGTCAAGGACTTCCTTCTTGAATCAACTATCAACACTCATGGAAGCAGCAGTCAAGAATTTAAGCGACGTATTGCATTAGGCAAATCTGCTGCACAAGACCTTTTTAAAATGTTGAAGAGCAAAGATGTCAGCTTGAGGACTAAGGTGCGCCTGACCCAAGCCATGGTATTTTCAATAGCCTCATATGTATGTGAAAACTGGACAGTGAATAAGGAAGACCGTAGAAGAAATGATGCTTTTGAGTTATGGTATTGGAGGAGAATATTGAAAGTGCTATGCGCTGCCAAAAGAACCAATAGATCCATTTTGGAAGAAGTACAGCCAGAGTGGTCCTTGGAGGCCAAGATGGCCAAGCTTCGTCTCTCATACTTCGGACATACTGTCAGGAGGGACCAGTCACTGGAGAAGGATATCATGTTTGGTAATGTGGAGGGTCAGAGAAAAAGAGGAAGACCCCCAACAAGATGAATTAGCCAAGTGGCAGCATTGAGGGACTCAAGCATGGCAACAGTAGTGAGGTTGGTCCAGGATCGGGCAGTGTTTTGTTCTTCTCTGTGCATAAGGTCGCTATGAGTTGGTACCGACTCAATGGCACCTAGCAACAACAACAACAGCTGCTGGAGTGAAGAACTGTTGCTAGAGTAAGATTGAAAGGGTCAAGAAACCCACAGGAAGTAAACAAGAAAGACTAAACCCCTTCTTCTTTCCCTGCATTGTCTCTCTAGTACCCCTCTACTGACAAAGTCAAATAAAAGTAAGAAATGTTCTTAAGGGTGGCTTTGAAGCTGATAGAAGTTGTCAAAGACTTCATAGCTGGCATGGTGACCATAATTTTAATAAAACTGGAAGGTAATAGATTAGTAACTATTCTTGGCTATGTATAGTTGAGCATACATATACATTTTCTAAGACACTGATTTTTAAGTGAGCTTATGGATTACATACAAAATTATCCCTGTTTGAAAACTACTTGTTTCTTCTTACAAGAAGCACTTAAGTAGAATTTGGACAGGAAGCTATGCAATGCCTACACTGATACCTGCATTTCAAACTAGCTTCACTACTTCACTAACTCCAGACAAGTTCAGAAATTCAGAATTCAAAATTATAGTATGTATGAAGAGATTTACATAGGATTTCTACAGTAACAAATTTTAGGTTTTATATGCTATAGTTTTTTTAGGTGGGTTTTTTTTTTCATCTTTTTTTTTAGTATACCTATGAATTTTTCCAGGAGTCCTGGTATTGCGCTGTAGGATAAGCACTGGACCACAAGGTCAGTTTGAACTGCAAGGTCAGTAGTTCAAATCTACCAGCTGCTCCTCAGAAACCCTATACAGAGTCGGAACCGACTTGACAGCATGTTAACAACAAAAACAACATAAATATTTCCTAACAAACTAGTCACAGCAAATTAAAAGGTTATACCTGAGACAAGGTAAATAGTAAATCTTTGCTGAATCACTGAGAAGAGAATAGATTGGAGTGAAGGCTGAACGATCACAGCCACAGTGACTGAGGATCACTCAATACTAGCAGCAAGACATGCTTCTGTCAACTCTTCCTGAACGTCTCAGTATCAAAGGAATGGACTAAGAAAAAGAGCTAGCTTCCCAGTACAAATCAATCAGGGGGCTGCCTCAATGAATAGGAGAAAGGGGAAAAAACCAAATTACTGTAAGTCGATTCCAACTCGTAACAACCAGATTATAGAACAGAGTAGAATTGCCCCATAAGGTTTCCAAGGCTGGTATGGTGCTGGAATAAGCACTGGATCACAAGGTTGGTGGTTCAAACTCAGCAGTCACTCCTCAGAAACTCTTTACAAAGCCACTATGAGTGGGAACCGACTCCATGTCAGTTAACAACAGTCATCTTTATAGAAACAGACTGCTTCGTCTTTCTCCTGTGGAGCAGTTAATGAGTTTGAATTCCCTTTCAGTTCACAGTCAAGCTCTTAAGGGCTACACAACCAACCAGGGTTCCTTCATAATATAGAAAGGTGGAAGAAAATGTTCTTCTGAAATTGTCATCACTAACAAGAGAAATGCAACACTCTTCATTTAAGTAGCCACCTTTATGCCATTCCAGGAAATTCATGTATGGACATGAATCAGTTACTTTCTTCATCATGTAAATTAATATTCTGGTAATTAAGATTCCAGTCATTAATGGTTGCACAGAGCTCAGCGTTTTTCATGTTCTCGAAAGGTAGTAACAGCCATAGTTGTTTGGAAAGTCAATTAAAAGAACCATTTTCATTGTATTAAGTTAACAAGTATTTATTGATGAATTTGATGAGGTGAAAAAATATGAATGAGTCATTATTTCTTAAAGACATTCACATATTTCTTATTTTATGTCTTGTTTTGTCTTGCTGCCGTCTCAAAGGATATTAAAGAATCACAAAACCACACTGGTGAGCCTGCTGGAGATGACTACAAAAAGATGGGAACACTCTTCGGTGGACTGAACAAAAGTCTTATCAACATGGGCTTCACCAGGTTGTATTTTGGAGAACGAATTGTAGAACCAGTAATCGTGGTTTTCTTCTGGGTTATGCTCTGGTTCCTTGGCCTGCAAGCCCTTGGACTAGTTGCTGTTCTTTGCCTTGTCATTATTTATGTGCAACAGTAAAACATGACTGGATGAACTGTTGTTTGACATTTCATACTGATTTTATGTAATTGATGGATTTACATATTTCAGTATATGTATAAGAGTTGAAAATTTTTACCTTGTTTTAAATTGTCTGTGCTATTTTTTAAATTTAATTTGTAAATGGATTTTGTCTAAAATTAAACTTCATTCTTGATTATTATAGGGTTGAATATATAATTTGTAGCTAATTTAAAATTCTGGTTTCATTAATGTACTATGTGTTCACTTTTAAATACCCCTGCCTTCACTCCAAATCTTAAATTTTAATACCACCAAAAAGCTAGCAAGAAAGATGAAAGATAGGAAATTTTAATCATTGAATACTGTTCTTGTAAAGACCTTCAATAAAACATTTTAGAAGAAAGATGAAACAAGGCGCTAAAAATAAGTCTTCATTGGATAATTGCTCACCATTCACTCCCACCTCTACCAAATAATTTCATATTAATTGGGCATTGTTCCTGCTCAATCCAACCAAAACAGAATAAATGACAATTATCATACACTACTTTAATATCGTGATGAAAGTAAAGCTAGCATATTTTCTAAATATTGAAATATATGTATATTTATTATGACTGGGGAAATTTTCCTAGTTTAAATATAAGTTTTTTATAAGGTAAAACTTGGGCCTGGATTCACTTCAGTTTATTATTTTAGATTTCAGAGAATTTTGGTGCTAATTACTTTTTGTGAATTTTTTTAAGTCTCAGAAGCTAGGTCCATAGTTGGTTGCACTCTATGGTAATGCTATATTTTCTTGTATCTGACAAGCTGCATATTTTTTCCTAGAGAGACATTTCCAGTGTATTTTTTCTAAAACTTTACAGTTTTATAGTTCTTTTGTAACAGTTATTCTGAAATTTAAAACAATGTATTCCTATATTGACATGAGTTTTTGTTTGCCCCTAAAGTTGATTTGTTTTTGACTGAAATATTTTACTATTCTTTTAAGCAAAAAAAAAAAAAAAAAAAGTTCATTTTGCTTTATATCTGTATTGAAATTACAGATTACACATATTATTACAGTATAAAACCAAATGCTTAAATTGGGGACTTAGTAGTCAATTGTACTAATATTACTCCTAGGATAAAACCAAGTAGGTAATTGGCTAGCCATGTTACTAATATGTCTCAATACAGCATTTTTAGATCTTTTGTTGAAATGATCGCTCCTTTAAATACACTTTGGTAGGGGAAAATAGTTTTAGTGATATTTTGCTAAAGAACATAAAATCTTTACACACTCCTCTTGAAGGCTATCTATATAGAAGAGGGAGATACAGTTAATTATCTAAATTAAATCAATGAAACTGGGACAAAGGAGCATTTTCTCTCTTGTAGCAGGTTTCTTACAGAGTGCTTACTGTTCCACTTTGTAAAGCTTTTGCCCAATTCTGTTTAAAAAATGTGTTCTGCAAGTTCTTCGATTTCTGGAATTAGACCATTCTAAACACAAACACTTGTCAGAGGGCACTAAGGGGTATTTTGTATTTGTATAAATACCGGCCTTTTAAATTTTGACTTTTGAAAAGCAACAGACTTTGTATTATATCATTGTGTTTTTATTGGGTTTGCAATATCTTTATAGTAAACATTATGTACTCAGCCTAAGTGCAAGCTGTTTGAAAAGGTGTTTTCATTTGTGTACAGGAGAGTTATAAAAATATTAATGAAAGATTAGTGAGAAGTTTTTCTATCTGCATAAAAGATTAATAAGTACATTCTTTTCTGATGCTCCCAGGAATGTTAATTTCCCTTTGAAATGCAAAGAGTGTACATACTAACAGTTTGGTTCCAACAGTGCCTACTATTGAAAATGGTTTTAAAATAAGTGTTTCCAATGATTATTCAGTAGGCTGTCTACACTGTGCATCTGCACACTGCTGTTTAGGGCAAGTATTAAATTATATAAAGAAATGAGACAATCTGCTATTCTTTCTACATATATTATTGGTGCAAGAAACCACTAAGTATTTGCTTTGCTAAGGATAAAACAAGTAAACTTTATATGATAAAGATAAAATCTTTTTCTTTTATGAATTTTATTTGAATGTAGAGTAAGCTGATATTCTGAAATGGAAAGAAGCTGGTGATTTCTTGGGTTCATGATATAAGAGATTAATTGACTGACAATTATTCTCAGCCATTTTGATCTCTGATGCAAGCCAATTTTAGAAATTATTATTAATTATAAAGATATAAGTTACAATGCTAAGATTATTAGATTATTAATAGATACTCACCCATGGTGTCCGCTGGCAATTCTAAGAAGGGTCAAGACCTACAAACTGACTATAGATAAGTAAATCTAGTTTTCTTCAAGTAGAAGCTTGAATAAGGTGTATGTGTATCTAAGTTATGGCAGGTATGACACGTGCCACTTGAAGGGAGACACCACTGAAAGGTTTTTGTGAACCATCTCAGTCCCCACCACCAGCTGTGAGAAGTCATCCCGCCAGTTAAAATGAATACTTTCCTGTATGAGACCCTCCTGTGGCACTTTGGGATCAACACTGGACTGCTAGCCACAAGTGTGGTGGCTCAAACCCACCAGCTGCATCTTGAAAACCTTCTACAGGGTCACTATGAGCCAGAACTGACTCGACAAATGCACAGAGGCAGACTATGCAGTCTTGCTCTGCTGAGTGAAGAAAGAGAA